GCTAAAAGTGACATTCTTGACTGAGAAGTCAGTCGTCGACCCATGTTGACGTAGCAAAGCACTCCCCCACACGGATCTCTTTTTTGATCTTTATCTCAAGATCACATTTTTTTTATCAGAAATTTAAATTTCATTAATATTATCCCGAAAATACAATCCTCAAGCTAAAAACTTGTTCAGCTAGATAATCTGCTTTTACATTCAGTTTCCGGTTAATACAAACAAAAGAGACATGCTCGAATGTTTGGGCAAGAGTCTTAATGTCTTCGATGATGTTAAACAAATCTAATAGTGATTGTCCTGAGTTAATGGCATTAATAAGTTCAGATGAGTCACACTCAAATCTCAGATTCTTGAGGTCCTTTCCGATGGCATAATAGACAGCTTCAAGATCACATATTTACTATTATTGGTAGATACTGTAATTTGTATATGGACATATATTCAGATATTCTTCTACATAAATAATATTTTTTCAGAAATTGAAAACTGAAAATTACATTCGGCTTTTATATGATATTAGGTTTCGATTTAGGGGTTTGGAACTATGGTTTTTTTTTAATATTTTCAAATCAGCTTTATTACTGTGTACGAATTAGAGAAAATGGTGAAAAATAGAATGATGTAACATTGTAAAGATGGTGCCAAAAAACAACCCGAATTAAGTTTGCCTATATATTCATATAAATAGGTGATGAGGAAGTATGGTGTTAATCCAAGTGTGGCGTAAGCCTTATTTTTATTTTATTTTATTTTAAGACGATTCATAATGTAGAACAAATAAGAATGGGCCGAAAGTTCTTAATGGTTTTTTTGTTAATGACAAGTTATTAATATTTGTCTAAGCAAACATAAAATGTCAACTTACTAAGGTGTAGAGATAAATTATCTGTACCATATATCACTTATAAATGATATAAATTGTGAGGAATGTAGAAGAATGCAATGTTCTTCATTTTTTTTTTCCCTTTTGTTGATCACCATTCAAAGTTCTTAAAAAGAGACTGTAATCCAACTTTAATTCGATTTTTAATTGACTATTATATCTATTATAGTCTCACACGTTACATAAATGATATATGAACCCAAAACTATGGCTATACTATCTCTTCCATAAATCTTTCTTTTTATTCGTTTGGTGTACCCGGTACTCCGTGACCCTTTCCTCCTTTGGAAGGTCAACTTTTATAACCTCCATAGACTATCTTCCCCGAAATTTTATTATCGCTATTTTCCTCTGCAACCTTCGTCATTGTTGTGAGCGGATTGATTTCTCCGATGACCGGTGAATTTAAACTTCTTGCATTGACATAAGTTTCAAGACACATAAAACAAATGACAAGGAATATGACAAATGTTGTTGGAGTAAAACGAGACATTTTGAGAGAGGCAGCTAGCGAAGTAACAAAAACTTAAAGGTTTTTTTTTTTTTCTTTTACTATGATTATAAAATGAGGCTGCCTTCTGTTTATGTTACTATGATTATAAAATGAGGCTGCCTTTAGTGTACATATATATATGCTATGTGTGTGCGCGCGCTGATGTTTAGTCAAATATCTGCGATCCATAATAGTTATGTTTCTTCGTATGGTGGTCATATTGAATACATTGTCTTGTTGAATAAAGACTGTAGAAGGAAAAATATATTTATTTGTCTAATAAACATGTGAGATTTTGATAAATACCTTAAATTTCATTGACAACTTGAAAACTACATTTGATGTTATAGAATTTGAAAAATTATATTCTTTGTTATATATAAAAGTACGTGGATACACACTTATACATATTTAATTATTATATAAATTTTAAATCATTAAAAAGTATTCAATATAATTAAAAATTATTAAATTTATATTTGAAATTTTAATTTCGTATTTATTTTTAAAAAATATTGTTCATTAATCATTATCTAAAATTTGAAATTATAATTAAATAAAACAAAAGGTGTACATATGTTTTTTTTTTGACAAACCGTGGAAGTTCTGATCTTTTGGATTATAATCTCTTCGGTATGCTAAACAGTTTTTGGATATTCCGATTTAAAGAATAATTCTCCATACCAAAAAAAATTTGAATCCGGGGCACAAAGAAACCAATTTTCTTGTGTTATTACAGGGCTACCACTCTTTTGGTAAGGTGGACATATGTTAAACATTCGACTTATTACATCATCTTTGTTCCTTCTCCGTGTGTAAACATGAACTTTATCTCGGGACTCGGGGTAGAGTTAGTTGTTTCCATTGTATTATGGTTTTCGAAATACCTGTATAATCGTAGATTATTTGGTTGTAGTGGAAATGTTATATTGCAAAACTTGGATTGTTAATTATTAAAAGGAAAATTGGCTAAAATAACCTAAAAAAAAAATATAATTCACTAACTAACTAAATGGTCCTAATCTAATGCCTTCAATTTCTCTCCATCATGATATTTTCATTAGATTGCTAATATAATTTTTTTTTGGTTATTGTTGCAAATCATCAATTATTAGAACTTGCTATTTCTCCCTAATCTTCAAGGTAACAAATTTTTATTCAATGGCCTGAACGAAAAAGTGGGCCTTAAGGGCCCAACATATTGGGCTCCATATATAAATATGAATCCTACAGTTTTCCGACAAGGCGTAGTCTAGATCGGACGGCCAGCTGTGCGCAGTGGGTTTATGTCATTGTGGGTCCCACGTGTGTTTCGCACCATCATCATCTTCATTATTTTTCTCTTTCTAATGTTTTTTTCTTTGGTTTCCTTTAATTATTCCGAACAGTACGCAGGTAAAGGATCGTTGATGCAGCTTCCGGTAATAATCTAATCATCCTCAATTATGTCGGCGGATTTCTCCGACCATTGATAGCTCAAAATTCTTTAGCTCTGTTCAAGGTTATTGCCTCGCTCTTCTCTTACTCGACGAACCCCTCGTTGAATTGCTTTAGGTACGCTTTCGATTGGA